TACTGCTCACTGTTTTTGGTGTGTTCGATGTTTGTCTTTTGATCCTTCTAGTGTTTGCACTCTGCCTGTTAGTGATTGATAGTTATAACTGGGTCCTGAAATTGAGATTATTTAAGGTCTTGTATTTAGGAATCATAATATAGAATGATGCTCAAGGATATCATAATCGTGTTAAGTTGGTTCCTTCTAATATGAGGAGCTTGTAGACGAAGTCATGGACCAATTTAGATGATAATGGTTAGTGACTGATAGTTATAACTGGATCCTGAAATTGGGATTATTTAAGGTCTTGTATTTAGGAATCATAATTGGCGAAGCCACTCAGTGGCTGGATGATTACATATAGAGCGATGCTCAAGGATGTCATAATCATGTTAAGTTGGTTCCTTCTAATATGAGGAGCTTGTTGACGAAGTCATGGACCAATTTAGATGATAATGGTCATGGATTGTAGTGAAATTGTAATGTTATGTCTATCACCAAGGAATGTAGTAACTAACATCGTTTATGTTGGTTTGTCTAGTTTTCTCACTGGCTCTCTGCAGGGGTCAATTTTCTGTGACAAAATTTGACTCTCTTCTTATGTTTGAGGTGGAAATAGATAAGATGCAGTCATGACCTTCATTTTTTCTTCACTTGGTGTCGTGAAGGTTAAACCACTTGGAACTTTGGGTTCTAGTTGATCACGTGGTGCTATTCTTGCAAAAACTGGTCTTAGTGTCTTGGTCTTCTGTTCTGGTGAAGAATTCTTGATAGCCTGTTCATACTTCTCCAACAATTTGTTTTTCTGATCTTTAACATTTTTTCCTAATAAACTGTGTTATAATTGATTTAGTTGCCTTTACTGATTTTCCAGTGTCAGCATCAAGTTCTTTTTCGTTTGATTATAGAAGTTTTTATGAATTATCAGGAAATGTTCCTTAATGCAAGTTTTGTTCGATTATAGAAGTTATTATGAATTATTACATGACTTGTAATTGGCAGCACTTTTCTGTCTAAATTGCTGGGTTTGAAGTAATGGACTATTTATTGTGGGAAAACTCTGGTGGATGTAGGAATGGTGACAAGTATGCCGGCGAGTACTTTGGTGACAAGATCCATGGTTTTGGTGTGTATCACTTTGCTAATGGTCACTGCTATGAAGGATCATGGCATGAAGGCAAGAAGCAAGGTTTTGGGATGTACACATTTCGTACTGGGGACACAAGATGTGGAGATTGGGACTCTGGAGTTCTCAAGAGCCCTCTTCTTGCATCAGATCCTGCTGTTCAGCGTGCCTTTCAGGTATCACATGCTTACTCTTCTGCTAATTCTCTCTCTCTCTCTCTCTCTCTCTCTCTCTCTCTCTCTCTCTCTCTCTCTCTATTCTTTTTCCTGTAACATGAAAAGTCTCCATGTAGGCGGCTCGGAAGTCTGCAGAAAATGCTATTCTGGTTCCGAGGATGGATCCACAAGTAAACAAAGCAGTCACAGCTGCCAATAGAGCAGCCACCGCTGCTCGAGTTGCTGCAATTAAAGCTGTACAGAATCGGATAAATGGCAAGTTCTGCGATACCGATGTTTAAGTCCAGCATTTGGTTCAATTGTACATTTAGCCACTAAACCAACCAATCCCAGAGTTAACGACCGGGTCGGCAAATGCTTCCTTGAGTTAGATAATAGGAGATTGGCTGACAATATTGATCTGAACTTCCAAGAACAAGTTACGATCTTCCTTGAAATGTAAAGTGCATATAAATCAACATGTATCTGATTTGAGTATGTGCTCCCCCAGCAAGTTCAGCAGCTCATGTGCTTGTTGTTTTCACTTGTCTGTGGACTTCAAAAGTGCAATCTGGTGGCAGAAAGGATGATCCCATGTGCTCACTGTTGGTTGTGTTTGTAAGTGCACATGGGAAGCAGTAGCCTTTCTCTCTCTCTCTTGGTCCCATGTTTCTTTTGATGACAGGCTTTGGAGTATTGCTCTCATTGCATGTGGTGACCCACTTGATGTTTCTATATTTCATGGTACTCATACCTCAATGCGGAAGGCATTAGAATAAATGTTCTCTCCCTCTCTCTCTATCTCTACCTAAATTTCCTCCTATGGTTCAACCACTCCTCCCTGCTGTACCTCTTTACCTCATCAGAAAGTATGGTGGAGGCATTATTGCACGAGATGGTTTCATCTTTTGGTCTGAGTGTATTGCTTGTGTGAGATATGCCTGGGAGCCGCACCATGGTGGTATGTGATCCCAAAGAGAAGAGACAGACCTGCAGTCTTCTTTTCATGTTTGATCATGTTGTTGGTTTGCATTAGTGTTCAAGGACAGCGATGTTTTCTTCTTCTAATTAATCAATCATTGCCTGCCTTTGATGAGAAGGAAGCTCTTGAAACAGGCAGCTACTCTTTGAACACCAGAAAGAAGAATTCATCTCAGCATCTGGCTTGATTTTTCAGTATCAGTCTTCTCCGTATTTGGTCATCCTAGAATCAGAATTATTGCATCTCTGCTTCAGAATGAGGACCTATTGGTGGAGACCCAGAATGTCAAATTAGATTTAGTGAAAGATCTGATATCATCAAAGTACAGAGGTTCTTAGGAAGGGGGCAAAGCATTTTGGAATTGTTTGTTCTAATGATGTTGGCTTAGATTACTAAATTCTGCTTCATTGTCTTTTGCTGACATAAGGTTTGCTCTGCTAACAAGCCACCAAAGAGTACAAAATTCTTTTATATGCTTCTAAAAGTCTGCCTTGATGATGCTGGTTGTGCTTAATTTTCATGGTTACATCAGTATCATCATCATCTGCTTATCAATGGCAATCAGAGGGCACAAAAAATGAATTTTTTTTCGGAATTTGCCGATCAGAAAACTTGTTTCCATCAGAAAAAAGATAAGCTATTTGGTGATTTATTCTTCACAGGTTCAACAATAATGGTGCTGATAATTGACAGGCTTTGGAATGTTAGCAGTGTTTGGTTAAGTTGTTAGTGCATGAGATCTATCAAAACCTGCTTATATTTGATTCAGAACTGGGTGCTAACTTCTTGAAGTTAGTGATGTTTCATATTCTGGCCTCTGAAATCAAGATTTGTCACAGGAAATGGATGGGATGAGACCAGATCAAAGTTTTGATCAGTCTGCACACCAATGCCAATGTGATGTAAACTAAAGAAATATATAGGACAAGTTCATGAGGTTGACAGCAAGGAATTAATGTTTGTAAACCATCCTTGGTCATTGATGGCTGATGCTTGAGACTACAGAAGTTTGAAGATGTTTTCCCCATTTGAATTCTTTTATCATTCTTTGTACAAAAAAAAATTGAATGTGGAATGATTTATTTATTCAATAAGCCAGCAAAGGTCAACTTCAAGGTCAAATTATCCAAAATATAGGACTTTTTCTATCATTGATTTCCAGTCACATGTTTGATATGATATTATCTTTCATAAGTAGAAGTTCACTCTAAAGAAGAGCAAAAGAGTAGCTATTTTGCTTGATTTTCATGAAAATTTGAAGACAACACTATAATATTTTTGGACTTCCATCAAGATCAGATTTCTCTGTTGGATCTCCATGAAACTTCCTTCCAATGCAAGTAAAAGATGAACACACAACATTACTGTACATTGGAGGTGAGGTCACAGGAAGAATATGGACAATGACAATATTACTATGAGAATGGATCTTTCTACATGGATTAAATGCTATGAACAGTAGTTTCCTTTCCTTCCTTTCCAAAAAAGTATTTTGGTCTGCTACAGTTGAACAACTTTCATTTAATTGTCACTTTGAACAATGATGATCTGATCAGTGGTTGGACCAGAGATTGGAATTACTGCTGCTTTCTCCATCAGCTATCTTGAAAATGTTAGTCTGCAGCTGCAAGGAGAAAAACACTTACCAGTCAAGGAAATACCACCAAGATTCAGATTGGCAAACTTATGATCTTAGTATGAGTTTAATAATCTAAAGGAAATCATAGAGAGGGCCAGAAGAGGACAACTTCAGGATCAAATGACATAAGAACTTGCAAGATTTCAAGGAAAAGTTACAATACCCAATGTTCTACAGATGTTAACATGGAATTTGAAAATAGGCTAAAGTTGGTAATACATTATGCATATATTGAAATGATTTTTTTTGTTGGGATGGAATTCTTGTTATTGTTATGTAATTAATTTGATTGCTTTTGTTGTGTTTAGTGTCAGAAATCTTCTGCACTTGTTTTGTGTTCATCAGACTACTGAACTTGACCTCTGTATCAGACTCCACTCAGGAAGCTGTGTAGTTAATACAAAATATTTCTAATATTTTGTAGCATCATAATGAATTTTAAGGAGGATATATAAAACAAGATTAATAATTTCGGGATGAATACATATGCAAAATTAAATTTAGAGAAAGAAGTATTAAAATAATTGATATATGCATAAGAAACATTCTAAAAAAAAAACTCTCATTTTGAGTTTTTAACGAAAAGTACTCGCCTTATTAATATTTTTCTATCGATGTTTTCTTTTAGACTCGAAAATATTCCTAACAAGAAACGATTCAAGTAGATATAAAAAAATATATTATATTAAAATATCATAATTTACATAGAAATTAAGTTTTATTTTTATGGTTCTTATTATGAAACCAATAAGAATACCTACTTTAAACTCCGCGAAGTGAGTAAGTCAATTACAACGTTTTTGTATAGGTGTTGAAGAAATATGCAATTGAGATAATATTTAATTTTTTAATATATTTCAGGTTCTCAAATCCAATACTTATTTGAAATTCTACAAATGATGATAAATTATTTTGTATTATATATATGTATATATAATCCTTAAATTAATTTATGGTTATCAAATTGGGCTACTTCCGAAAATGCCATCTCTCAATATCCATAATAACAGCCAACAGGTCCCGTTTCAATGAATTATCGACATGTTGATGGGTAGTTTCGTCCATGAAATAGCTATAAATACGAATCAAAGTGCCCTAGTGAGCGGGAATCGCCCGCGTCGACCCTCCGGCGGCTGCCGACTCACCCAAGCGTAGGCGAGTCGCCTTCTCCCCGTCTCCTCTTCATCCCTTTTGCTCCTCTTTTCCTCCACAATCGAGACGATTCTTGAAAGATCCAACTGTGCTCGCTCATGTACCAGGCCGCCTGCACCACCGGCGGGATCGACGGCTGCCGCCTGCTCGATCTCGTCTAGTGTAACATGCAGGTGAGGCCACTGGTCCTGGTTTTGATTTGTCTTTCCGATCTTGGTGGGCACGACAGGCATCAGATCTGATTTGCTGAGATCTTGGTCTTCTTTCGTTGATCGTGCCCCCTACGATTTCTCTCCATACCCCCGAAGCTATGATCAGTTGCATACGCTCTTTACTCTCCACAACATCCTCATTTTGATAGGGCATTGCAATTAACTTCATTCTTAGTTAGTAATCTTCAAGCTTTGCAATTAATTGGCTGGCAAATTAGCAGATCTACGCCTCTTTCTGTTCGCAGGCGCTCGTGTTTCATACATTAGAAGACATTTCTGCGTGATTATTCCAACTGTAGTTGTAGTTGCAGAGCAATGTCGTATTTGGTGCTGCACACCGTTCTTCTTGAAATCAGACTATGGTTTTCGAGATTTTATGTGTGCACACAGTAAATGTTCCTCTCTGCTTGAGTGTTCTCCAGCTTGACAGCCCATGGAGTTGCACTTCAATGATGTGGTATACAGAGTATCCACTAACTGGATGTTTACTTTTCATCTGTTTTCACAATCAAACAACAAAATTCTAGTAATGTTTGAAACATAAAACCCACTGTGTTACTTTATTTGCCATCTTTCTGTTAAAAATCTTCATTTTTCTTCCCATTCAGCTTTCATGCTGAATTAGCTTTTTATTAGTTACTACTTGCTGAATAATGTTATATTTTCTGCTTCTGCTTTTGCACACAGTTCTTGAAATCAGACTATGGTTGTCAGGATTTTATGTGTGCATATAGCAAATGATCTTATCTGCTTGACTCTTCTCCAGCTTGACAGCAGACGGTGTTGCACTCCAATGAAGTGGTATACATAATTCATCAACCAACACCAGTATTAGTTCCCTATAGAAATATGAAAACATTGTTCTTTTTCTACAAGAAAGCAAAAACATTCTTCCAAGATAAAAGGATGATCAAACGCACAAGGTCTGGAGAGTCAGCAGTCCTACCACTCCTCACTACACCGCAACAAGAAAGTCTAAGTTCAATTTCATGATTGACAAGCAGCAAATAAATTTCGTTAGCTTCTACATCCAGTCTGCCCTTACATCTTGGCATCCAAATTAATGGTTGATGACCCTCCTGCTTTACTTGTCTGCACATTTTGTATAGATTCTATCATGGCGACGGCAGATTCGCCGCGCTTTATGATGCTCTCGAGCAATCCAACCTTCTCTAGTAATGATCCGATATTAGAGTCGGCGGAACTCACCACCTTATCTGCGGTCTTCAGAGCAGCACATAACTGGAACATAGAGAAAGACGTAAAATTAGCTTAAAATGTAGAAGATGAACAAAGGAGAAGGCTGTTCTTCCGATATATGACTATGGTACCTTTAGAGTTAAAGCTGTCCATGAGTGGTCGGTCCCTTCTAATGACTTGATCAACTGATCGTAGTTCTCCTGAAGCACACAAGACCGATGAACTTGAGTATTCATGGACAAAGATAATAGGAAAATAAGGAACAACAGCAAGACTATCTGAGACAGTTATGACTTATGCTAATTGAAGGACATGCAGAAAGCAAGACTATGATTTAACATTAATGTTTTTGGTTTTATACATTCTTGTCTTAAGGACATGCAGAAAGTAAGGGGAAAAATGCACCTGAGATTGGAGCTGTAATGTCAATTTGACACTTGGTTATATGAATCTTTTAGCACTTCTATATTTTTTTTCATGCAAATCATGTATGGGTTTAATTGTAAACATGGTTATTTATATAACTCTGTAATTACACTTCTCTGATCTACTAATTTCTACTTTTGAGTCTTATATCAGTCAGCTGAACTTTGCAAAGTGGACTTTTTTTTTTTCCTCACCTTAATTATCTCGACTACAAATCTCATCTTAGTGCAATCATGTGATCCACAATTTGTTAATTTGTCAATCAAAACTTATTGGGATTACAAGAATGCATTTGTCATGTATCATAAGATATTAAGATTGTTTCTATTGGTTAGAATGACCATAAAAGATTCTATCAGATAATAAAAAAAGAGAAAAAAATTTACTTGTAAGCTCTTTTATGTACTAGAAATTTATTCTAATTTTTATTTTTTTAAAACACTAATATACAATCATAATTTGTTCCTCATTGATATTGAATGTGCATTCTAAGCGGATTTCCAATCTCAAGCGATAACATCATCTCGATTTACGCCTCAAAGGAAAAGTAATCGTATCTTCTTGTCACAAAGACAAGGCATCATGATCTTACTTCCCACATCAGAATCAAATTCAAGCCAAAAGATTCAAAGTGATTGATCCAGAAAAAATACCTGGAACACTCGGACGAGATCTCGAGATGGTGTGAGAAGATGAGGAGGAGGGAGCTCGGCGGGTGCGGAGGAGAGGAGATCGGTCTCTCGTCCGTCCCCATTGATGGCGTCACCGTCCTCGCCGACGTCTCTCAGCAGATCGCCGATGCAGAGCAGCGGACCTCCCACCCCGCGATTCATGTCGCCCCTCTTTGCATTGGCCGGCGTAAATGCTGGTACCCCTTTTAGGGATTCTTTCGGGTCCGAACCCGGTATTGCTCTATCCGGATCGGATGATTTATTAATCGGGTGCGGATTTAGAATTCCTACGCGATAATAGTAACGGATGTAAAATAAGAATCCGTAATTAAATTGTTAGCCCATATTAATAGTTCTGGGCCAACGATGGTTTTACATAAAGCCCATAAAAGAGGCGCAAATAATGCCACGGTAGAAGGACAAAATTGTCATTCTACCAATAAATATCGTGGGAACTATTGAAGGTATTTGGCTCCGTCCCAAACCCTAGTCGGCAACGAAGGCAGTCGAAGAGACGCTCCTTCCCCGGCTGCTTCGGTTTTAGTGTCAATCCTCTTCCATCTATTCTACCTTCATTTTTCAGTTTTCTTTGAGATTTAGCTTGCAAAATTGCTTTTTGTTTTTTGCGTTGGATTTGATACAGATTCTAATTTTTCGATTCTTTCTTTTTGGGTGGAGTTCAGAAATGGCGAAGTCGAAGAACCACACCGCTCACAACCAGTCGTACAAAGCCCATAAGAACGGGATCAAGAAGCCTCGAAAGCATCGCCACACCTCCACCAAAGGGGTAACCTTTTTTTTTCTCCTCCTCTGACCCTTTTCCGATGTAGTCTTTTGCTTGATTTTTAGCTTATTTCTTTTCCCTTTCTAGAGGATTTAGAATCAGTTGACGCCGTATGTTCAGTGCAATGCTGCAAGCTGATGTTTTTGGTTCCGTTATATTTATTGCAATCTTTAGGTTTTATGTAGCCAGTTGAATTAGCTAATTTGTACCTACGAACTATTCTATTATGTATATATACATTGTTTTGCGGTGCTCATCGATGATCTTAATATTCTTTATTGCAGATGGATCCGAAGTTTCTGAGGAATCAGAGGTATGCAAGGAAGCATAACAAGAGTAACGGTGCCTCAGGTTCTGAGATGGAGGAGTAGAGCATGAACACAGTGCAAGATGGTTTTTTTCATTTGGATGTTCTTGTGCTTTTTGACTGTTAGACTGTCTTGGAATGATGTCGATTAAACTTCATATGAACAAAATTTGTCATTTTTATATTGCTTTTCCAACCACGTTGAAAACTTTTAGTGCAAAGTAGTATTTATGTTGCAATATGTTCTGATTTCATGGCAATTGTTGGCATCTTTAGTTATCTACATGTTTTCCATCTCAGCCTCTGCCACTTCTTAGATCGAAGTTATTGTTTAGGCATCTCATTGTATACCTGATTCAGCAATCTGAATTATGCGATAAGGTACATTCCACCATTTAATGTTTCATACAATGCAGGATGTTGAAATGTTGAGCTATTGTTTTATTTTGTTTATTCATTAAGAGTTATTTTTATCACTTACTTCTATTGTTCATTGTTCCACTGATGCCTAATCTTTAATCAGGTAGGAAATAACCTTGAACTTGCAATTCTGCTAAGTGCTGGGGTCTATAATTTATCATTCTCTTTTTATACGAAACAACCGAAGCTAACAGTTTGTTTACCTTCCTTCAAATGCATTCCTAATTTTTATTGGTTTCTTTTCAATCTGCTCTATGTTGAAGCTAATTCTTATTTTTCATTCTAAGACATCTACTTTAAGATTTTAGATGGGTGACTAAAATGTGCTCGATACTTTCCTGCATTTGAAATGTAGTAGTTGATAATTTCGATTCCCATTCTGTTTCTTTCAAGAATATTGTTGGCAGTGCCTGTTCAAGTAGCAGAAATAGGAACTTGGCCTATTAAATGAATGCTTCTGCTTGTGGTAGACTGTTGAATCTGAATGGTTCCAGTATAATTTCAATCTGAATGCCCAATCTGTGTGTTAGTACTTCCTAGAAGAAATGGTCCCAGTATAATTTCAAGCAAATTTAGGTGTCTAAGAATTACAGCTGAAATGGTTTTTGGCAGCTTGGAAAATGCTTGCATGTTATGTTTACATTGAACCTTTTGGTCCTCTACCTCATATTAGGACCAGTTTTTATTAGTATTATTAGGTTATGAGTTGTGACCATTGTAATTTGTTTGCTGCCTTTGCTTGTGCAGCACCTTTTCTTTTCTAAACTATCTGCAGAAATTTTTGCTCAAAACTACTGTTGGTTTTCTATTACCCTATGCACCTTTGCTAAATATGCTTTCCACTCCTATTCACACCCTACTTTGTTTTGATAACTGAGAATTTGGAGGGACCTGCTTGCATTTGTTGGTCTCTGTTTTTTTGTGTTATGGAAATGTTGAATGGAAAATGTGAAGGTGTGAAGTTATGATGTTGCATAGACTTCAAATTTGGATCATCCTTTGGAGATTGTTCATGATTAGATTACATGATTAGATTACACTGAACATGTTTGAGCAACTAAATAGTGTTTTTTTGTCTGAAAATAAAAGTATAATGCAGAATCTCAGCTTTATGATGATGCTGTCAACTTTTATTGCTCATTAATTCTTGTTGTACTTGAAATTACTAATAATTCTTGTGTTTTCTCATGTTGAGTTCTTGTTTCTGTAAAACATGTATTCTTGCTTTCTCATGTTGTTTCTGTAACACAAAAAAATTGAGGCCAACAAATTTTCATTGGAATGTCAACTATCTCTCAGTATTCATTGGTGACTATTTTAGGATTTTTATTTAGATTCAAATTACTGATTAGTGTAAAAATTTAAGTAGGAAAAAAGTTCAAAATAAATTATGTAGTATGTGATGGAGAGGTAAAAGAAAATACTTTTGCTTATAGAATTTTTTCCAATGATTCTATAAAAAGTTAGTGAGAAGAATTCTTATTTCGAGAATTATGTGAGAGATTTATCTTCGTATATGTAGAATTAATTTTTTTTAACACAGTCAATAAATAGCTAACCACATAAGTTTTACATCGAGTTTTGGTTTTATTATTTATTATTGAGTTGTCAAATATCTTCTTCTGATTTCGAGAACTTCTCTCCTTGACACAGTCTGGGACAGAAGCAGGTCACTTCATCTGTGCTTGGCTGGCTGTATATGCTGACATAATGCATGGTCAGATGCAAAGTCTAACCCCTCGTGAACTCACTGGAGAGTTGTATCTCAATGCTTAGAGCTCCACAGAACCTGTCATGTGCTCCTAACCTAGTCATGAGGGCATCAGCAGCAGTGATAGGTCGAAGCTTTCATCGATTTGGTTTGTTCTGCTGCAACTATCTGAAAGTGATAGGAAAAAGTTCTTTCCAGATTTACTCTCAGATCTTCCACATCTGATACAACTTCTGACAAGATGTGGAGCATTATGGATTTTAATCGAAGATTCATCCAGCTTCCACTCTAGTCAAAGCATTAATTTCTTGAGGAAATCATGACAATGCCATGTCTTCCCATCAGATGAGACACAGAAAGATTTGACTTTTTGCTATTAGATAGATAATAATATTGTCAATCAGAGGTGTATGGGAGGATTAGCCCAATTATCCAAGTGAGAGATGTTTCTGAGTACATATAACCATGCATATATCTCGACATATAAGCTAAGCTAAATGGAGTGCAATTCACATCAAGCAGGGGTACGTCATGGCTGCTCCTTACTGCTGCCGCCTCCACAGCTTGGCCGGTAAGCCGTGCTTGGGAACAGGGAAAGGGCGGTACTCGATCTCTCCCTGGCTTCCCACGATCTCCCACCTGCATCGCACACATGTTGGGTTCAGCTTCGTACGTGCTAATGAATCCTCCATGCATGCATGGAGTTGCTGCTTGGCCTCTCGCTCACCTGTACTTGGTCACCAGATGGTGGATCAAAATGAGCATTTCCAGCTTGGCTAGCTCGTTACCGGGGCAGGCGTGAGCTCCGCTACCGAATGGCAAGAACGTGTTGGGCTTTGGAGCGACCTGCAGTTGCAGAGAGAGAGGAGATGTAGAAGGAGCCGACGTAGCTGGGAGGAAGAATACCGTGAACGAGTACCTCGAATCTGCTGGGGTCGAACACCCATGGGTCGCGGAAGAACTCTGGGTTGTGATGTATGTTCCTGAACAAAGGCATCACTTTCCATCCCTTCGGTATAAGGAATCCTGCACTCCACGGCCATGTTTGCTGGATTCAGACCAAAGCACAGAGCTTTGCACAAGAACCTTTTACTGCGATTTCATGGTACCTTTGTACTCGACATCCGCCACCGCCTCCCTAAAAGGGAACGAGATGATGCTCGCCATCCTCAGACTCTCCAGTATGACCTACACCACGATGGAAGGTAGCGTTACCCATTTCCATCGTTTCTGTGAAGGAGAGAGGTTCGCATTGCACACGGTACGTACCTTGTGAGTCAGCACCATGCTTCTGGTTTGGCTCCATGTCAAGGGTCGAGCTCCAAGCTGGTTGCTTTCCTGGATGACCATTTGCTCGGCCTGCAGGACAACGACGGTCAGGTCAGGTCGAATCGATGGTTACATCGGTGGAGCACTTGATGCTTCGGCTGTCGTACTCTGACAGAATCAAGAAGCTTGGGGTCGTCGTGGAGGAACTTGAGGATCCACGTCAGGGCGCTGGCCGTGGTATCCTGTGCCGCGAACAGTACGCCGACGATGTTGTCGGCGATCTGGTCGTCCGTCAGGAGCTCTCCCTTGTCGTCCTTGGAGTCCATGAGATGGCCCAGCAGATCGTTCTCCCACACGCCCTTCTTCCTCCTCCTCTCGTTCATGATATCGCCCACTATCCTACCCAGTCGTTTCCTTGCCTGGGTCGAGAAGAACAAGAGGTTGGAGATCGACGAAGAGCAAAGCTACATGAACTCCGTTCTTGCTTACTTGGATTGCTTTCTGGTACGGCGTCCCAGGGATGCAGGTGGGGAACGAATTGTAGCCCTTGTCGACGTCGGAGTAGTTCTTTTTGAGCTCTGCCTTGGACCGCTCGTCCAAACGACCTCCGAAGACTGCGAGGATTCCCACATCAAAGGAGAACTGCAAGAGAGAAGTAGATCAGTGATCAGAGCATGCATTACTCCCCCCCCGAAAGCCACGAGAGGCCAAAGTCCACCGACCTCCTTCAATGCATGGAAAGCAGCCACTTCCCGACCGACCCACGATTCCAGCATGGAGACCACCATCCGTTCGACGCTGGTGACGAGGCCACGAAGCGCCACGGGCGCCACCGAGCTCTGGACGAGCTTCCTCAGCCGCATGTGGTAGTCGCCTTGGTGGAAGAAAAGCGCCCACGGGCCGATCATCTGTTCCTTGCTCTTCGGGTAGGTGGGCTTGAACAGATGAGCTCGCGTCACCAGCACGAACCTCGCCGCCTCCGGGCTGGCCAGCATCACGCAGGGGCAACCCAGCAGCCGCGTCTTGAAGATCTCGCCGTACCTGCAACACGCCCCCCACTGAGCCCCCATTCACCGGAAACAACCTCCAGTAACGCGTATGCGAGAGAAAGGAATTGGGACCTCTTCTCTCTGGTGTCGAAGAAGGCATTAGGATCCTGCGAGTAAAGTTGAAGGGTCTCTCCGACGTAAGGCCATCCCATGGAGCCAGGCGGGAGCTTAAGCTTGTCCTGCGACTTCTTCTTGAGCTTCCTCATGAAGAGAGAGGTTGCAATGGCCAGGAGAAGGAAGGCGTACAGAACCCCACAGGCCATTCCCACCGTCCCTTCTGTCTCTCGATGGACTCGTGGAGAGAGAGGCTTCGCAAAGGGAGCGAGAGCAGTCGAGGGTTTATGTAGAGAAAGGTTGCCATGCGCCGATGGAATTCGATTCGGGTTCGCCTCGATTAACTGCGAGTCCGATTAGACTTGACATCTCACGGACGCTTGTGGCTTGGCCACGATGAGGCGCAGCCCGGCCGGTCCAAATCATCGATGTGCCGACAACACGTGCCGAGATGGCGACGGTCGAGACTCGAGATGGTTCTAGCGTTCCTTCATGGGCCATCCGATTACCTACGGATCTATCTAAGTCAACTTTCATTATGTCACCAATAATAATTAGGGAGATTATATGAAAAAGGTCTCTTTTGCTTTTTTGTTTCGCTCACAAGTGTTTCTTATTTTCAATTTGTTTTCATAGTATTTTTATATCATATAATACCGAAAATATCCTTCATAATATAATGTTTTGATAATCATGATAAAAATATTATAAAATTTATTTAAAATATTATAAATAATAAAAAAAGAACATCTAACCTCAATCAAACTAATTATAATTCTAAAATATAATATCAAAATGGTTTAGGAAAAATGGGCATATTTTTTGGGGGAAAAATGGCAAAAACAGGGCATTTTTAGGAAAATGGCCCTAATAATTATGATATGATCAAATCAGATGAACGGTTGAGATTATGAGAAGATAATTGAAGGCACCCATAGCTTTTCTTTCCTTCTGACTCGTGCTCTCCTCACGTCGCATCGACCACTGTAGCAGATGACAAGCTTTGCTTTCTCCGTGTTGGGCGAGGATGCTTTCGTTTCGGCGATCCTAACTTCACTTGTGGAGCAGGATTTTGAGGAGGACGTGGAAGATCTCGATGACGGTGATCAGGTGTGATGCAGCCGTCGTCCAAGTCTCAAAGATGTAGCGGCACTGTTGGGCAACAGTTGGACGTCGGGAACTGTTCCCTCTCGATGTAATGCTCGACCACACGGTGAGGTTCGGGCGGAGCTTTGACGCCGCCAACTCCTGTGCTCTCGCCGGCTCCGCCCATATGTTGACAACCGACGCAACGCAAGGGAGTACTGCAAACGAAGCGACTTGGCGACCGACAAAGCTCCGTGTGTGGCTGCCGACCACGCGACAGAGGCCATGCCCGGACTGCCATGGCATCACCTGGGCCTGGGAGAAAGCCCGAGGACAGGTTCCGATCGAGGGAAGGACGGGCGACGACTGCAGCAGCACAGTAGAATACTGTGCATGTGCAGCATCGGCATGTCGTCGCCATCGTCTTCTTCTCCAGGCCGCGTGGGGACTAATTATTTTCTGTAAAATAAAATGTGGATAAGGATCGACAATATACCATCAGATCATAGTCATTATCATCATCATTGATGCAATCTATGAAAACACGTTTATCTAACAGACCCATCCCTTGGTGTTGGTGATGTTGCTCGCGATCATGCTTGATGGAGCCCTTGGGATTGAGATCTCCAGGGAAGACTTCCATTGGTCCAAATCGACGGCTTCTTTCTTGGATCTCAGGTTGGACTGCTAGCTGAGTCTACTGCGTGCGGTGGTGAATCATTGCAATCCACCATGAGCGACGAATGGATCTATTTCTCTTCTCTCTTATCATATACTTAAGCGAAGGAGAAAAGAAACCTGAGATGATGCGAGTGGAACTTGAGATGAGGACAGTCCCATGACTGGTGCAACAGCACTACATGAAGAAATATGGATATGGGGTCACAGGTCTTCAGTTGATGTAAGTTTAGATCATCACCATGGAAGGCTGAATCAGGATCTCCATCTAGAAAGCATTAATGAGCAGTGGTACTACATGCTGCACAAAGGCAATTCCATCTTCCCCAACAACAAATGCTTGCGGCGAGAAACTCTGGTTGGAAGTCTCGAAGAGGTTGGGGAAGTATACGAGTCATCTAAGCTGCTGAAAACTTGAAGTGCTCAGTAGCTATAATCTCTACATCCCGAACTTTGAACCAATAAATCAAGCAAGCAGCTTCAGTTTTCATATGAGCATGTCATTTGACACCAACAAAGTGGACAACATTTGAATAATAATACTCTCAAACTCCCCAAAAGCTTATGACAACATTTGCATGAATTTGAAATTGGATTGAACTTAGGAAACTTGAGTTTGCATGTTTCTTTTCTTTTTCTCAGATGAATAAACATTATCTGTTCCGTAAGGACAAGCGAGTTAGTCGACATCACATCATGTCAAAGGCTACAAAACAACTGAAGTGGTAGAAGAAGAGCCCCAACTTATTCTAGTCCATGAACTCTTCTCCTCTCGGTCTGTGTCCTGAAGGACCAGATCCTCTCATTGGATTCAGCCTCCTAAATATAATAGTAAGTTCATTGTAAAAGGAAATCGACTTTGCATGAATATAAATCGTCAGTGGCTTAATGCATCAATTGGTGCTACATATAATCTATTCCAAGGAAAACATAAGTGAAACACAAGTAATTATGTCGAACACATGGTGGAGAGTGAGCTAGTCGAACAGTTTGAGGCCCTCGTCGAGGTCTTCGCAGTGCCTCACATGGCGGACCACCGCCCCCTTGTCGACGTCCTTGTGGGCCTTGCAATCGTAGCTGGGCGGCGAGTGGAAGCACGGCTCCATCGACGTGCCCCGGCGGCAGGCTTGGTTCCGATCCGCCGGCCTCGGGATGATCCACGGCTTCAGTGCCCCGAGCCCCTGCGCCACGTACCCGAAGGTCGAGCACGCGGTGGTCACCAGCACGTCGCTGAAGCTGAGCAGGTTGATCTCCGCCCACGCCTTGATGTTGTGGTTCTGGTGGTCCGTGTGTTGCTGCTCCTCGTGGCTCGGTTGGTACACGCCGATGACCTCGCCCGTGGCCGTCGAGTGCTCGTAGTACATGTTCCGGAGTTTGTCGAAGTAGCCGGAGTACAAGGTGGTCACCAGGACAGCCTTCTCTCTCGCATCCTTTGCGGGCACGCCGGGCTCCTCGAGATTGACGGCCGGCAGCAGGTTCTCTTTTCTCGAACAATTGATGATCTGGTTGAGCATGGTGTCGAAAGAGACAGGCGCGTGCTGGAAGACCCTGATCTGAATGCCCACCATCTCATAAGCCTTCGCTAGATAGACCTGGTAATACCTCGTGACGTAGCCCCACACCACATTGGTCGGGTGGAGAAGGTATCGGCCCAGGTGATGGAAGACGGTCTCCCTCTCCGGGAACAGCCGCCGCAGCTCCTCCTCGTACTCCTCCACCAGAAACAGCGACGGCACGAAGTAGTTGTCCGACTTCAGCAGCAGCCACGGCAGCTTCCGGAGCATCTGCTGAGCGTCTTCGCAGAAGAATATCTTGTCCAACGCGCTGTAATCGTGGGTCAGGTGGAGGTAAACGTAAGCCGGCAGTGTAAGGTTGGCAGCAAATCTCATGTCGTTCTTGATGACCCCACTTTGGAGCATGTTGCCGTAGCTCTGCGGAGTTCTGACCTCGAAGCTCTCCAGCTTCTCCACCGGGAAATCCTTCGGCAGAGTCCACGAGGTCTCAGGAAACGGCTCGCAGAGGAGGTCGGCGAGGTCCTCGGGGACATGGACCAGCAGAACCTTGTCGTTGAGCAGAGCATAGAGGAAAGCAGACACGATGGTCAGTACTCTGTTCCCGAAGCCATTGTAAGGAATCCAAACAACGTAGTTGCATTCCCCCGGCCCGGTGCTGCGGCCGGACTTCAGCTGCTCTATGGACTTGTTGTAGAGCTCGGTGTTCGGGCCACATTTCTTGTGGAGAGCTTCGTACTTCCGAAGCCTATCGACGAGGTACGGCGTAGGTGTGTAAGGCGACGCCTTACGATACAGCACGGACTGGTATCGGCTCAGGCAGGAGCTCTCATCGAATCCAGGAGCCAACAGGCCGCCAAGAAGCTTGTCCTTCACTGGCTCAGGCACCGGCGAAGACGAGCTCTCTGATCTCAACCCTAAACACTCAAAACTCAGTGCTGCATCAAGCAAGAAGACTTCGATCTGCCTCGACAACAAGGATTTAGTTACCTGTTTCCGCAGTAAAGCCAACGGATCGAAGCCATTCCAAGGACGGCTTCCTGTAAGCTCCAACGAGAAGCACCAACAGCGGCAGATATATCATGCAGGCGAGGACTACGCATGGCGTCCAGTTCCTGGAACTGTTGCTACTCTCCATCTCGGCTTCCGAATCCCCCGCCATCTCCATCTTGCCATAGCCGATCCTGCTGCGCTTCATCCCCATCGTCCTCGAGCGCCTACAAGAACTCAGCCTACTTATTTATCCAACCTCGGAACACGGCAAGTGCACTCCTTAACATTGTAATCCATGGTCTTCCTCTCTTCCTCGTTCCTCTCCAGCCGTCGATTTCGTTGCCTAGTGGCCATGCCACTACGATTTCTCTTGGTTTTCTTAGTCGATCAAGTAGCTTCCTCGCCTAAACTTCATCTTCCCCCGAGGGTAAAGTCAACCCTCGATTACCTTTGGACGTCGAAGTGCGCGCGTGCATGTGACAACCAGATGCAGTCAAAGATTACAATGATATTATACTAGTCGCCATTGCCCGTCGTAAACCAAATGAAGCGGCAACTGGATCTTGACAACCAGCAAGATCACACGACGAGGAGATCAAGCACTCGGTTAAGGAGGCATTAAGTTGACTCTTGCATGCATTACTTTACTACTCATCAGATCTGAATGTCCACTAAGAGTGCTACTGTAGTTTGAGAACAGCATAAGAAAGATCATTGGCTCTACTAAAAGACAAAGACAACTTCCGTGAAAAGGGCACTTCTTCTTCAAGGAATCAAGATAATAAATGCATTATTGTCAACACGTTTTTAGAACAGTTCATGAAACACGAAGTTAGTGGTGCTTAAGTCAATAGTCTGAGTAGAAGAGATCTTTCTACTAGTCTTTTGCCCTGTCATTTAATAAAGGTCAACTCATACTACAAGCCTGTAAACTGAAGCGTTCAGATCTTGGAGAAGGGTTTCAAAGATCACGTGGATAATCTATGCATCGAGCAGTGCATGTTTCACGTTATGATTCCACGCGAATCACGCAGACGGCGTTCTCTAATCTGGTTCGTTGAAAAATCACTCAAAAGTTGACATCCCTTCACGTACGCAGAAAGGCGAAACATGTGTGCCACGTGCAGTGGGTCCTATATCATTCCAATAATATAATGGTAATGTTTCGCGGGTAAAAACATTAGGTACTAAAACTTTTCAAGTTCGGAGAGGTTTCTTTCAGTTCGGGATCTCCGTTCATCATGATCACCGACCAACTGCAACCGATCCAACGGTTACAAAAACAAAGAAGCCTCCCGTCGTTCTGCGATCCAAAATGGTCCTCCTCGCCCGGCAGTTAAAGATGCCGGAGGAGGACACGAAGCCCTTCGTTTCCCGCTTCGCTTGCCATGGCCCTCACCAACCCTAATCCCCTTCTCTCCAAACCCTTACCCCCGCCTCTCCTTCGCATCCCCTCGCGTTGCTTCCTCCGTTGCCGCGCAGCTGCGGACGCCTCCTCGGACTGGTTCCGCCCCCGGGGCGACCCGCCCGATGGAGGGAGAATGTCTGCCCGGGACCCCGGGACTCGAATTAACGCGACGGAGGAGAGCACGGACCAGAGCAGCAGCGGCAATAAGAAGAAGAAGAAGAAAAGCAAGTGGTGGTGGTGGTCTCGGGACCGGGAGAGCTACTTGGCCAACGACTCCGACGCCCTGCCGTTGCCGATGACCTACCCTGACTCTTCCCCGGTGTCACCGCAGGAGATCGACCGCAGGCTCCAGTGTGATCCCAGTATCGAGGTTGCAATTTGTTCTTGTTTGTCCTTCGATTTGCCTTCTTGATTCGTTAACCGTGAGGACCTGACTGGTCTTTGACATTTTGCTACGGAAGGATTGTAAGCCAGTGGTGTACGAGTGGACGGGGAAGTGTAGGAGTTGCCAGGGGACGGGGTTGGTGAGCTACTACAACAAAAGGGGGCGGGAGACGATCTGCAAGTGCGTTCCCTGCCTTGGAATAGGTTCGTACATTTCGTTTATGTGTTTGAGATTTTATTCATTTTGGTTTACAATCGATTGTATTCTTCTATGAGGCCGCGTTAATTATTAAAATTGATATTTCTATTCATGTTCATATCATAAAACCAACATGCCAGTTAACTGGAAATCCGTGCAAACTGGCAGTTCAACTGGGTTGCTGCTGAACTATATATGATTTCTATAGCTGGCTTGGTTCAGGATACTGCATCAGTAGTGCTTGATTGGTCTCTGTCTTTAACACCATAATGTCATGCGGCAGTTTCATAGTGGGTGCAGGAGAGACCTGAGTAGAACCGACAAGCATTCATCTATTAGGTCTACATTTCTCAGATTTGGAGTCTTTCTCTGAGAATCTTAATTGGAACATTATCTTTCAAGTCCAGCTACTCTTTTATGCTGATTTTTTTTTGCAAATTTGATAGGTAAATCTCTTCCACTTGAGTGCCAATGACTGAATGATCATTTTTTGATTTGCTTCAGTGAATTGTCATTGATGGAATAACAAAAATCAAAAGTTTTATTGGATTTGGAATCAGTAAATGGTTGTTAGATGATGTGGGATTGCCTTCTTACATGAGAATTGGCAGTGGAATATTAGGTTAATTTCTGCACTTTTTGGGTTGCAACATGGTTATTAATTTGGTTATTCATGAGCTCCTATATTGAATGTACAAATTTTCCCCTAAAATTCTCAATTTGCAGGGATCTAGATTGATGATTTAGATCTAAGGTACAATCCAACAAGCACCTATAGAACATATTTTTTTTTATTCTACGCCCATTAAATGTGTCATGACATTTTTTCCCTTTATCATAGTAAATTGCTGGTCTCTTCTGGTACTGTATCTACATCAGTTAAAGAAAAATCTAGAATATAGTAGAAGTGACCTTCTATCTAAGGTTGTGTTTTCTCTATTTAGAGGATGTTGATTACAGAGAAACATACTTGTGTATGCTTCTAAAGAATGTGAATTATTTAGAACCTTGTGTGCCGTGCTTTGACATCAAAGACTTTATGAAGTTTGTTCCAAGTGTGTTTTATGGCATGAAGCACTTTTCAAAATTAAACACAATCTAGTTAATTATATCTCATATTAAAATTAGCTTTCAGAAGTTGAGTAAAAAATTTCTTTGATTTGGTAACAGCCATATATGACCATTTTAAACTCCTCTGTCTTGCCTCACCCCAATGTGCATTTTCATAACATATTATCCTCTAATAATCCCTTATTCCAAAAAGTAGACGTAGTGAAGTTTGATGAGTTGCTCCATCTTGATCATTACTAAAACAAGCTTTTCTGTATTTGTTCCTTCTTTTATTTTGGTAAGAAGCCTAGGGACAACAGTTGATCTGAAAGAGGTGTTGATGGAGGCAGGGAGTTACATTTTTTTTGGGTAACAGGATAGGACGTAACAATGGCCTATTTGCATGTTCGTGCATTGAAGGGTGAAGGTAAATCCTGTAATAGCAGTATGGGTACTAATCAAATGGCTCATAATCATTGTGAACAAAAATTCTTGCCATAGTATTTCTGGTACAGTTGTCATTTTTACCTTAAGAATATATCACTTTTTCCATTGCAGTGTGGTTGACTAATATATTTTATATATCTAAATCTTATTGCAGTTTTATGTTACTAGTTGTTATATACTATTTCTACTTCTGTTCGCAAATCAGATGTTTGACTCATCTATAAATCAAAAGTCACAGGGAATCCATTAGTGACATGGATGTTTTTCTCATTGATATTCCATGATTGAGATAATTGGCCAAATTCTATAGAATCATTTCACAGAAGTTCATTGATATATTCTTTCTAAAAAGCATTTTGACCTCCATTCTTGAATGAGTCTAAGACAATTCTAACTCTATTATAACAGAAGATTCCCTTTTCATGACACATAGATGTTTAAAACACTTTACTAGTCTGAATATCTCATTTTTAGTTTGATTCTTGTCCAGGATATGTCCAGAAAATAACGGTACGGGAGGACATCAATGTGATGGAAGATGTAGACAATGGAAAACCACCTTAATTCATTCCTTCGACAAGTAAATTCTGATAAATGATACTTAAGATTCCTTCATAGAGCAGATATAGAAACATTTTTCAATTTTTGTTTAATATGGTTTTAGTGCCATCTATGCTCTGCAGCCATAAAATCACAGACTGTTTTTGGCAGTTTAGTGTGGACCAAATGTTTTTTGAGGGTGCTAAGCTTGCAAGACAAGCCAATATTTAACAAAATGTTTCATCCACTTTATGCTTTCCAAACATTTGTGCATTAATATGTAAGAGAAAAAACACTTATTGTGTTGTGAGTATTGCTGAAGATTCATATTCTTGTCAAGTGTTCTGTCTTCTACCCCTTATTTTTAATCAGTGATAGCCTAAATATGTTATGCTATTTGAGAGTGAAGGTAAATGTCATACCTTTGCCCATGGAATATGAATCTTGGAACCTTTTTTCTAACGAATCTATAGTTTGGCAGGGAATTATATATAGATTTGTGCATCCAAATTCTGGTGATGGCATACACACCGCTGATACTTCTGCTTCTGTTCCATCTCCTGATGTGATAAGCGGATGTCAGGACTCCACATTCTTTATTTTCAATCTGACTATCCAAGTTCATTAGTTTGAAGCTGGTAAAGTGGTTATCAGATTACAGGCTTGATGCTATTTTTTGACCCCAAATGTTAAGGAGATGATGCAGGAGTTCAACAAGTATCAAACAAAAAAAATCAGATAGAAGTTGAAACTGAAAGCAAAACCAAGGTTGGGAGTGTGGCAAATGATGCAAGCTGCTGACTTAACAAAAATAGCTTTAACAAGTTCGCAAAGCGGACTGAGAAAGGCTTTAAGGTCCTTGATATTGGAGACACTTTTTGGATGTTCAATCAAGTTTATGATGGCCGAAATTGTTCAAAGGGACACAAAAAAGATACCTTTCAAGGATGCACCCTGAGATGAGTGCCAGAATAACACCAAAGGTAGACAAGAATGGCAATCGGCTGTCATGAGCTCTTACAGCCGAGATTAAGTTGACCTAATATAAGTTATGAGTCAAATTAAGCAGGAGCCCTTAGAAATAGAGCCAGGAATGACTTTTATTCCATGCATGTTTTGTATTGTTTTACAGCTAATGCAATTTCTAAAATTAATGCAGCTCTCTCTCACTTCTAAATTTTGGTCTTCTTTCTTTGCATTTCCTGCAATCAGCTGATGTGTGCAAGGTTTACAGTAAGTTTAGCATTTTTGCAAATGTGCCTTGTCCGATGAACTTTAGTGCATCAAAAAGTGCTTCCATATAATCATGTGCATTTTCTATTCCTTTCATATATTGTAGTTTTATCCAGGTCTGATTTAAATGATATATTATATTTAGTGTAAAAGGAGGCATATGTTGGAAAGGAGGGAGTCATTGCAAGGATTCATTGTCTCTTCTAATACTTGTTCGTTTCTCATTTACCTTTTTCATATATCTCTCTTTTTTGTTCTGTTTAAGCCATTATTATTTTGCTTGGACCTGCTTCCTGGTTCTTTCTCATGCCTCATATCTTGAGACTTCTTAGACCACTTTTATAAGACCAACCCTGGAACTATTATCTATAGTTGTTTGTCTCATTATGGTGTATATGCCGACATGTAAGTGCAAGAAATCAGTTGTTGAGATTCCTTTTTCTTATGCTACAATCATCATGCAACATGCATCTGTACTTAAGATTAGGGGGAGAAAACCTAAGACAGTTGCTGAATTAAATACCTTTGAATGAAGGCTTACTGCATCAGATTTCGCAAAATGTAGCTTAAGAGTGCATGAAACCAGGGACACCAGAGGAATATATAGTTTCTATTACTAGCTATTCAGACAAGGAGAACATGTAGGAATAGGCTTTGGTTGTGTAAATACCAATCATCAAGTGGATAAGATCATGCATCAACAGCACATCATTTGAACAACACATCACCTGCAGTGCCATGTCCACCACCTGTGCCTTAAGTACATAGCATTGATAATTTCAGAAGATGTCAAGTAAATCATTACACAGGTTACAGTTACTGGATCGATGAACATTATCAATGGACGGGTACAAAAGCATTGTTGCATCGAACCATAGATTGAAAAAAATAGCTCTCTCAAACTTGAATCAAGAAATTTGTTAAGAATTAGGAGTTAGAACTACAGCATCTACATACATTATTTGATATTCTAAAGAAGTGCATTAAGTCATAAGGAAGCAACTTAGTATCTTGTTCCTTCAGTTAAGAGCTTTTGGTACACTTTCAGCTATCTTATTTTCTTACTTGTATTATGGATCCCTAATTTGGTGCCAATATGATTGTCTTCTCCTGGTCATGAAGACCATTATCTTCTTTTAATGTCAAATTCTTTGTTCATGAATTATCAGCAGAAGTATAAATAGATTAAAAATCCATTGATATCTCATCCTGTTTTTCTCTTCTCTTTTCCTCCTTGCCAACCTCAGCTCATAGCGTCTTTTCCAATTTTCGTCGAAGGTGGAGGATTTGGCTGTTCTTTCCGGAGGGTAATGGTCTCTTCAAGGAGAGGTACTAACTACATCTCATCTCGTCAATCGGATTTTCAACTTTTTTACTAGAAAACTTGCAAATTGTATGGTTGCATTACCCTGGGCTCCCTTTAGAATCCTGGAATCAGGAGAGCCTGGTTTCTATTACTTTTCTGCTTGGCTGTGCTGTTTTCTATTATGTTTGTGCTCGACAGACCCCTTAAAAGTAGATGAACGCCCCCTGTTAAATTTGAACGTGGCCATTAGACTATGCATGATAACATTGATGACCTTTGGAACTGTGTAGGGGTGGGAAACACAAGACTCGCATGCCTCTTCAACTGATATATGATAGATAGCATTCATGGCCTTTGGAACCGCATTGGGGTGGGGAACATATCACTCACATGCCTACTCAAGACTCCTTTTGATATGAAGTTCCTCGAGGATGAATCCTTGCCACCAACAAGGGAGACCAAAAGAGGGAGAAATCATCTCTTTTTGGCTACTACTAAGAGGTACTTTGTCTCGAGTAGTCATTTCCTGACTGTTCTAAATCACTTGCTTTGTAACCCTTGAAGTGAGATCTAGTTTGAGTCAGGAGAGAAAGATCCGTGTTTGCTATCAACAAAATGGTTGGTTCCATTGTTCTAAGGTCATCTACAGAAACTTAGCAAGGAGATGAGTTTACTGGCCCCTTTTGAGTGTGTGTTTATATATATATAACAATGTTTATATATATGTGTGTGTTTATATATATGTGTAGAGAACAAAGACATCATTGGTTGATGAACAATGTTTGAACAGATCTATATGCCACCCTATATAACCCTCACACACACACACCATATAAAGCAGGCTTGACCAGCCTACCCGTTTCGCCTTGAGATGGCATGCATTAACAGGTGCAACTTGGATAAGCAGGCCATCTGCGGCGCGCCGGTGGTGCCGCCGATGAACCCGCGCATCTCGTTCTCCAGCGACTTCGTCGTGGAGCAGCACGCCGCACGGACCACGAGCCCGCCGCCCGATCCCGACTTCGAGTTTGCCGTCGGCAGCCACTCGATGATCGACGCTGATCGACTCTTCTTCGAGGGCCGGCTGCTCCCGCTCAAGGACACCCACCAACGCGGGCCGCATCAGCGGGTCATCACCACCTTGAGGGAAGAGCTTCGGACCGACGAGGAGGACGGGGCCCGGTGGGAGCGGCCGCTGAAAGGATCCATTAACTGGAGGGTGTTGTTTGGAATCAAGAAGGCCCGTCGCAGCTCGGCGGCGGCAGTGACGGCAAAGAAGAGCGACGAGGTTGATGATGAGCTTCTTGTCAAGCCAACATAGGTCCGATTTCGTTCCCTTTTGCAAGCTAATCTGGAACGGAATGTTTCTTCTTACTGTGGCTTCTTTAGATCTTTGCTGCATCTGCGTACAGTGTCTCATAGATGGGGTTTTGTTATCCCCTGTTGTGTTTTGTAGGACCTCTAAGGCCAAGAAGGAGCCTTCTCTAATGGCGGAAATGATAAACTCTTTATGATACTGAAGCAACGAAGAGAGAAGGGACAGTTCATGAACAGGTTTTCTTTCTCTTCATCTTGTTGAAGCTATTGCCTTTAGCTAAGTTGGAAATGATGGTGGATTGTGCAGGCACTGGGATTTGAGGAGGCAGCTGTATATTAAGTCATCAATCAATCACTGTTTTCTGTCAATTAATTCACTGTACTTTCAACCATGTGGTGTTTATGGCCCTTCTCTTCTTCCCTTTGTCTGCTGTACACAAAGTTTCAGCTGGAAGATTAATTGTGTGAATGCTGAACCTGAATTCAAATCTGTGCAGATGAGGTTCTCTCGGTAGCTTTTCTCTTGCTGCAATCTTGTTTGTCCCTCTTGGTTGGGGAACAGTCATGCCTTTGTCCTGTTGTCTGAGTTCTGAGGAACAAAGAGCAGAGACAGAGACTGTGGAGGTAACATGATTTTGGATTCTGTCACTCATGTCCTTGTTCTTGTTACCAGCAAACTTTAGATAATATTATATGCCAACAACTTGTTCTACTCTATTATTTCATATGATGTGTGACCTCTCAAGAAATATATGAATCTAAAATGTAAAAGATAGGAAACTGTACAAAAGATAACAAAGGAAAAAAAATAAATGAAATCAACTCATCATTGTTACAGCCAGTATTGTTAGCTGCTACCTTCCATGTGAAGCCTGTGGAAACATAACATTATTCATCTGAATCACCTTCTCAGAATAAATTTGGTTCCACTGGAAAAGATTATCATCTCAAAACTATACCTACTCAGAAGTGTTGTTCTTCAAAATTGAATGAGGCTCCTTTGTTGACATGGTAAGATAATGGAGGAACTGCATCATTTAGATGAATGATGGAACCATTGTTTGGTTGTTCTTGATGCTGAGAGCTTCATGATAGTTTCCAATCTCGTCCACCACAGATGTTGTAGTGCAAGTTAGTAAGGTACATTGTCTTTCAATGTTGCTTGTGCTTGCTACCCCACTCTGTATTCTCTGATTGCCTTAGTTTGTCACCTAATTGATGCTGTGAATGATACTTCACACAATGCTTCTTATCTGCTATCCCCATACACTGGCCATCTTACAGAATTTTTAAGGTCTGGAGGTGCCTCTTCTGCTTCCATGTCTTCTGTCTCCACTACAACTGGATCAAGCATTAGTCTCTAAATTCTAGCCAAGTCTCTTATCTTTTGTTGCTCTTAAGTGATATACTCTCTGTTTTTTTTGCTCCCTAAATCGTCATTTGATGACAACTTTGGCTTGTCAATGATTGAATTTTTCTTGGTGTTCTTTTGCTGCTTCACTGTCTGCTTCAACATAATCAGCTGAAGTGATACTGCAATTTCAGAATTATCATGTAGAATGCTTTCATCTTTCTAGTCAGAAGAGAGGGATCATTTATTTGGCACCAATTTTGAAAGGTTTATACCTCAGAGTTTCATTGTTAGAAATTCATATAATTTTTGTAAAAGGATTTCCTTCATGAGATCGACAAGAAAAGTGTTTATGAGATCTGATGGTGATATACTGTTACTCAACTAATAGCTTTCTATATCAATTTAATTCTTTATCCAATGATATACTCCCTGTTTTAGTTATCATGAAGTCCTTTTTATTTATTATTGTTTACAAGTTCATACTTGATTTCTTTGTTCATTCTTTGTATTTTTCAACTCATTGTTGCTAAGAAAATATGCCATTAGTTCTTCATATGTCTACACCTGTTGTTTCATCTGAGTGTGCCAATGTTTTTCGAGTTTCGCTTACCGAATTGGATCCAAATTTTCAAGGCTAATTATTTGCAAAGGGAGTACCAGACATTCTTCTTAAAATTTTTCTAAACTGCATTATTTTTTTCAGTTACCATCATTATTTTCTTATGTTGTGACTTTGTTTGAATGACTCAAGTAGCTTCTCAAACCAAATTTTGGATAATGTGCTGCTAATTGCAAAATGACTTGGAGTCATCTTCATCTTGATATGCTTGAGTTTGTTCATCAACTCTGCTTATTTGTTGCCATTAACTTTCTTTGTAACATTCAAAGTTATCAGAATTTATTTGGTCCACAGTGCACACTAGATTGGCAATATGATTCAGCTAAAGATTCCATAAAGATATCAGGGACAATTTGGCATCACATTCAGGGAACTTGCCATCTTTCTTTCCTATTAAATTGTTGTGCTTATAATTAGTGTTTTCTGATGTCTGAGACATTTAAGCATCTTAGCAACCAGTCTTCCTGATACACCTCCATTACAGTATTCTTCTTCATGGAAGCATATATTTACAGGCAATTGCATTGATCCTCCTCATATGAAGTTCATAACATCATTTACAAACTAATTGTGAGCTCATTGTTGATAATTGGTGCATGTAAAACATAAGCCTCTCTGTTCTACATATGCATCTGACCTCTCTCCTTGCTTGATGACAGTAATCTAATTTCATGCACTTCAGGAGTCTTAAATTTATGTTCACATAACAGTAACCTCATCTAAGCAAATCCTTTCAGCCAATGATGGTGCTCTCTGCACTATAATCCTTGGCTTTTGCTTATTCTGAATGAATCAAATGTAACCTATTCTGAATGAGACATTTCTATCTTGATGGACCTCACACAGAATTATTGCTTGCCTTTGCTTAGTGCTCTCCTTTTAGTTGAGGATTGTGTCAGATCTCCATTGGACTCAGTTGTGCCCTTCCAAATCATCCTAAGCTTCCATGATCATCAACATTGGAGGCTGTAACAGGTACAGTGATTAATGCAGCAATTCATGGGCCAACTCCAACAGCACATCTGCATGATTACAGTCTGATGAGGGGTTGCAATCACCTTTGGTGCACAACATTAAATGGTTTGTCTTTGGTTAGGGTATCAGGTAGTTCCTCAGCTATTGTAGTCCAATCTATGGAGGGACCAATGACTCTATTTCATCTGCATTTGCCAACCATGACTTTGCTTAGAAATCTAATCTCTGGGTCCAAACTTGACAACAGAGCATTTAATCTCTTTGTTTTCTTGTTCATAAAATTTCAGATATGATCCTCACAAATAGTTGTTGCTCTAATATCATATGTTGTCATAATCTTAGCGCGAGAACTATTTTCGAAATCAAAGTACTCATAAATTACTTTTCGATGGCGGATAGCGACTCGTATATTAATTGGAGTCTAACTCGAGGACTAGATCGGAGTATCATGTATCGAGCTTTGAGATTTGCAGAAGATTAGCCTATAATTCTGTATTCACTCTCCAACATGCATGTGTCATAAATGCAAATCAAAATTGGCCCAACCAATTCGGTAGGCCAAATAGGAATTAGCTTTGTTTAAGGATTTCAGAAAAGAACAATAATGTATTGCAACCATGGAATACATGCCAAACTATTCAGTGATATAGTAGAAATATATGGTTGAACAAATCAAGTCGAATGTGTGGAAATCCTATACATACAAATTGGCAAAATCCATAATGGTCCAATTTCTGAACATTATATTTTCTGCTCTTTATGTTTTCTTCCTTTAATGTGTATGATGGAAAGCTTTTTATCTATGCTGAATAATCTTCTTAGGTTCATAAGTAGCTGCTCCATAGTACATTTCTCTTCTTAAACAAAAAAAAAAAAAAGAAGCTCTTGAGGACTATGAGATAAAAACTCATTTGTATTGAGAAACTTTAGTGTTAACTATTTTGAGATATTATAATATTTTTTCTTATTTAATAAAATCTCATCTTCTGGTCAGAAATGGATACATATCACACACAGATCACAAGAGACCATAAGAATCCCCAACTCATTATTTAATTAATAATTAAATAATTTTGATGTGATTATTTACTTATATTCTAATTTTGGTTTAACAAATAAAGCAATTACCTATAATACAAGAATCTAGTTGTACATGTAAATCAAGACATGCACATATGACAATACGTCATGTGTCCATGTTTTCTAATGTAAGTGAAACACTTGCATGCTTTTCACATATGCAACTCTAATAAAAAAGGAATTCACTAGTTGGAGAATAGCAATGGCTTCATTAATTGACTAAAGAATTAATCTTAATTTAAAATTCTATTTCCGAAAATAAAGATCAACAAATACTTTTATTTGTTAATTATAAAACTTTATATAGATAGCATAAATTACAAACACTTCAATGATATGGGCTTTGCCGTGTTCAAGCTGGAAACCATGGGAGTCACTATCAGAAAATATAAGTTATTCTAAGTGAGGTAGAAAATTAAAAGAACAAATCCTTTAATTGAAGATTGAATTGTCTCTTCAGTGACATGTTCTTGCACAGAGACACATCTCAATCATCTACATCACCTGCACAGTTTCTACGTGCCATCGGTTCTTACGCTGCACACAAATTTACTACCTAGTCGCGGCGTTTACATGCATCTCCTGCTTGGAAGCAATGGAGTTCTTGCAGTGCGCGATGGCCGCCTGGATCGCGCTCTGCAGCTCCTCCATGGTGCTGTTGTCGGAGGAAGAGAAGGCCATGGATGTGGCGGAGAGGAGGCCGCTGTTGGTCCGAGACGTCGTCGTGGAGTCCGGCGCAGACAGCTGCGACTTACTACGCCACCCCTCCCGTTCCCTGCCGGTGGAGTGGCCGGAGAAGGAGTACGGCCTCCGACGGAGGTCGGGCTTCTCCTTCTCCGCCCGGAGGAAGAAGAGCGGCTCCACGATTCTCGCGTACTTCCTCAGAAGCCGGCCAACGTCGAACCCTCTTTTCTTCTTCTGCGGCTTCTTCTTGAAGTCCTCCTCTTTCTCTCCATCGCCGTTCCTCCTCCTCAACCACCCGAAGCCAAAGAAGGAAGACAAGCTCCTGCCCTTGGCTTTCTCCCTGTTCTTACCGCCGCCGTCTTCGTGGTCGACGCCGGCCTCATGCTTCTGGCTTCGGTCGGCGTCGGCGTGGTCGACAGTGAGGCCGAAGTTTTCGAAGGTTATGTCCGAGGGGCGGGGAGGGCTGGTCGGGGAAGGGAGCAGGTGGAGGGGGAGGAGGTGGCCGTGAAGGAAGATGTCGTCGGCCGGGGCCAAGTCGACGGCGGAAGTGGCCGTGGCCTTGCCGCTTTTGAGGGTCTTTGGTGCTGAGCTTAGTGGAGGGTGGAAGGAGATGGTGAAGGAGAACTCATGAGAAGGGGAAGCAGCTGCTGATGATGGTGGGGGTGGTGGAGGAACAACACCACCCTTATTACCTTCACTAGCTGTCTTCACTCTCTCCCTTTGGTGGTGTTGTATGTCCATGGCCCAAATTTTTGCTATCAGACGCAGGTTCAAGAGAGGAAGTATATAAATGGGGCCATCAATGTTTCATGTTCATTATCACTGGGCAAATATATCCAAACTTAACTGATATATATATATATATATATATATATATATATATATATATATATATATATATATATATATATATATGTCATGTCCAAGTTAATTGACTACTTAGCTAAGTTAGTCAGTATCTTTAAAAAAAAAAAAAAAAAAAAGGAGAATATTAAGAGTCAACTATTGGATGGGTTGTGTCTCTGCACGTGGCTACGTACAGTGCATGCATGTGTGCCCGTTAACTACAACATAATGTAATCTAAAACATGGGTTTGCCAACAAATTGGAGATATGTAGTCAAAACAAAGAATGTACTGGTAACTACTGGACATGCAAGCTGGCTGCCTTTGACAAGGCAAAACATCGAGACTGGAGGAATATAGTGATTTGTACAGTGTCTATGGAATGAATGCATCAGTTTTGTCAATGGTCATACTAGGGTGGTGCCTTGGCACCTTTGCAATCTGCACAGTGATACATGTTTGTTTAACTGCCAACATATACATCGAGCCTATAATGATGAGGCACATAGGCTAATTTTGTAGCTTTTGGGAAGGTAATTTTAAGAGGCATATGATGTCATTATCTTTGTTTTCAGAATACTTTTTTGAGTTTTAATCAAAAAAAAAAAAACCCCATAGAGATATGTGAGAAAGATGAGAGTTAACATGTGGTGGGCACTTTCAACAGAACCCATTTGCAGTTGGGACTCATCTATCATTTATACCTTTGGGTGGGGAAAAGATTAGAAGACTTGAAAGAGACCTCATCATGTGAATAAAAGAGGCTCATTGCAGGGCTTCTTTCATATCCATCTCGAGTTATGGTAAAATTTTATCATGTAGTAGAAAACTTCAACTTGTAGTTAAATTGTCTTAGATATTTATTCCTTTTTACATAGGTCAGTAAGCCTACCATGGATAGAAGAAGACTACACGGAATCAACCAGTCAATCTATGAGCAAGAAGGCAACCCTAATCATTAAGAGGCATATACCAGATGTATGTAACCTATAAACATAGCGAATATTTACCAGGAAGGACAAATAGAAGAACACTGACCTTGTAAGTTGGACCTCAGTTTAGCTCAAGAGGACCGTCTTCGAGTGTCCTCTCTTTCTTTCAGCTACTTGCTTGGTTTCGTCACTGACACAACTGAAGAAGATGAATTCTCAGCATCTGAATAATAACATAAATCATTTCTACTTCTGAAAGAAAGACAAATAAATCACAGGAGGCATAGAAATGGACCAATCACCTCTCGCCACAAGTGTTCTCACAAGCAAACATTTTTGTGTACTGATCTGACGATGGGAGAAGGGAAGGTTCGTGAACAAAAGATAGGAGACATCTTCAGGCCCTACACCACCCCCTATAATTTTGCACTTTCCCAAGAGGAAGGGCTTCAACATCTTCTGAAGACTTCCTTTTTGTCTTGAAATTGGAGTGCCATGTATGTATCACTTGTGGCCCGTATCTAGCTTTTGATTCACATAAAGATACGTTCGGCAAGAAATTATTGAGGACCCCTTTTTTCAGTAGTGATCAACTCATAGCCTATTGTGCTTGTCTTGATCCAACTTAGACCTGACATGTGTGTAATTTTCTTTCTGAAAATTAATTATATGCATCCCATCCCTAAAGTGTTAACAAAGAGAAAAATAAAGCTGTCTAAAGCAAGACAAGGTTTTCACAAAGTTCCCATCATGTCTATTATGCTAAGCATCTATTTTGTAAATGAAGTGTTAACAGAATTAGAAGGTCATTTGTTCTATTTAGGGCTTTGACCTCTTTTATAGATCTTGGGGAAGCTGCATGCATGACATGACAATAAAGTGGCGAGTGGCAATTGAAGGTGAACCAAAGAGTTCTGTGCATTTATTGATACAAACAAGGGTCAATCATCATAGCTATAACAAGACCTTAATAAATCTGTGTGGGACATGTAAACTAAGACCCCAATGCAAGTTACATCTATCCAAGTAGGTAAGCCAACCTTGTCCTCATGTTTTGTTCCATGAGACCTCTTTTGATCTATAATTACATAACTTCTATATTTCTCTAAAATCTTCATGTAAGTTCTGATGGAAAGTTTTCAATTAATATTCAACTACATGAATTTTTTTTTTCAAATTTATTCCTAATTTTGTGTTCAGTTGGGGAATTTCATGCATATTCTACAATAATTCAGATATTTCCAAAGTCTTTGTGCCCAGTATTTCGGTATTTCCAAGTCTCAGCTAACTTTAATGATATCTCAGTACTAACAAAGCCAAAGGAGCTTTAGAATTAAAGGGATGGTAAAATAAATGTAGGACCAGCAAGCTCCTGAATCTGAAATGTAGGGGGGATTATGAACATTGGTGGAGTGTACACATCCAGGGATGTGAATGATTTATGAGCTGGTCCATGGGATATGGATGGGAAGTCTCCATGGGGCTTCCCTAAAGTCATGTTTGGGTCACTTGTTTGTTGTGTCTGTGCACTTTATTGCTCCTTATCACAAACATGACAATTTGAGTGGCCTACTGCCGGTGGTGCAGTCCAAGAAAATGGCTGTCTTGTTCCTATGGGTGCTTTGAATCTGGCTAAACCTCCCTGAGAGACCATCTAAGTACATTGTATTTTTCTTGTAGAAACTGAAGTCTTTGGCTTTTCATTTAGTTTGGTTCCTTTTGATAAGGCAAAGCAGGGAAGAACTGTCAATTCATTGAGGGATGTGATTGTCATTTTGTCAACATTTTTCAAACATGAGTGTAATTGACAAATTAGGGTGGTGAAGCAAAACTCGCAGCTATAACATGGACAAATGAGATTGTCTAAGAAAACAGAGTAACACAATTCTTTTAATAAAGGTGGGATTTGTTAGAAAAGTATTTATGCATGAGATGAAGATTGAGTGATGATTAAAATTAACATGGCTAAGGATTAAAAGAGTTGGGTGACACACACTGAGTTTTATGTGCAACTTACTAAGTTTTTGAATTGAATTGGTTTTCAATCTTATGTATATTAGTCCTAAGACTTAGGCTTGTATCATTAAAAATTCCAACACAGAAGCAAAGTTGAGAGAACCAGATGATTCAATTTACTGAAGGCAAGTTAGCTGAATAATATGCCAATTTATACTCGGATTTATCCTTATAAATAAGGAGAAAGCAAATCAAAACATCTATAAATAATAGTAAGCAAACTAGACCAGCCAGCTAGACAGTAAACAAATATGGAAGAACTTTCATAAATGGGTTGGTAATGGGTATAGGAAACCAACAAAATAATAAATGGTCGCAAATGGATCAGCCCATGGATCAACCAATAATACCTACCCTGAGCATTCAAATTACTCATCTCTTATTTTTCTTTAAATACGGGACAATTGGCACATGTAGGTTCTTGAACAAATTCACCGATTAATAAAAAAAGAGAAAAAAAGTTTATGGTTGATCAAAATATTACTAAACTTGAGTAGTACTAATCATTTAGCAACAAAAGTGGCTCAGTTGGCTGGATATTACAAAATAAGATCTTAAACATGATCATAAATTGGTCAGGAGTAGATCTACCACCCTAGTTCCGGACCAATATTCTAATCCAACCATACTTGACTAAATTTGTCAGACCTTCAGTCCTAAGAGATCTTGAATTTTGTCAATTCTATATAAATCATAGTTGGCCTGGATTTGACAGAAATTTAAAAGCCACTAAATGGAGTAACATAGAGTACCAAAAGACAAAGATATGTACTGGCTAAAAATGTTGTTTCGTAGATTATAACAAGAGTTAAGAATGCATGATGCAGCTCCAAATAGCAGCAATTTACGCAGGATCTTAACCAAGCATTTGATCAGTAGTTCACCCTGACTTTGGTACTTCTGTACTATGTCTAGTTTTTCTCCATCTAATCATGGATAAAAATGGATGCTACAACACAACTAATCTTTCCCAAAACAAGAGACAAAAGGTCAATCATCTTTAACTGTGTCGACCACAAACTGTTGACATCACATCTGACAACAACTGAATGATCATTCTAATGTAGCCTAACAAAACTTAAATAGTTTATGTTAAACCTCATTTAAGTTGTGCCTCAAGCAACTTAAGCTGCAATGGTAACAGCAGGTTGCTTTCTGAATTATGATATGCCTTGCGTTCTAAAGAATCAAGCAAACACAATTACCTCTCAAGGGAAACCCCGTGCATAGGGAGCACCATTTCAGGTGTGAACATGCCAGAGTTCCCAACCTCCACCCATTTCTTCAAACCTTCATGATAACTGAGCAACAGAACCAGTTCAGACAAGATCAGGAACATTTTAAGTTCAAGATATGAAAAAAGAATTTGCTACCAAAAGATTTCTGTGCTTGGTTTTAGGCACAAGCTTTAATATGCCTAAACAACAAGGATGAAATAACGTAGTCAGATAAAGAAATGCAAAATACTCTGAACATAATGCTTCAGCCAGCATCCGAGCCGAGGTGCTCTAAAGTTCTACAGTTGAACACTAAATTATTTATAGGCAGGTTAATCTCTTTGTAAAATCAGGACATGTAAGGGAGACTGAAATGCAAACAGATAGACCCTGAAAACCTGAAACTACAAAGAAGGTGCAGAGCCCTCTCATACTAATGGAATGGCTTTGATCTAGGTATTATGATTGGAGACACCAGAGCTCCTAGATCAAGACATGGTTGCCCTATTACTAACATAACAAGTGATTATGAAATCAAATGATGAAGAATACAGAATTAGTAGTAATCATATACTTTGGAGAACTTTGATGTTTATGGGACTGGTGTCTTACCTCACAAGCGTCGAGGGAGGCAAGATGGGCTTTTTTTTTCATTATATGTAATATCAGTTCAAATGAAAATTTGTAGCTTTTGGGTCTCAAAACTGAAAAGCATATCTGTCTATAAGCAACAAACCACATCTTTACTCTTCGCTAAACCCAACTAGGAACCAAAATCCCTATAACCCAATGCCCAATAGGAGAAGGAAAAGAGAGGAGGTTGAGGAGCGGGGAATCCTATTATTGAGTGCCAATCGCCGAGGCTAAGACTACC